TAGTTGTCAGGATAATCCAGTTTTAAGTTGGCAACAAATTTGCATTGATGATGATCGTCATCAAGTGTCCGGTGATTACATAAATTCATCAAATGAAAGTAAGCATTGGTGATCGATACAATTTTGAGATCCAATTATATGTACTATATGTACATGTACATGTATGATGCAAAATACATGTAATTAACAAGCAATTGGTGTTTACCATTGTGTCTTAGTCATCTTAACTAGAATTTCCATTAATGTAGTTTTTCACAAGCATAATGATATCAGATAGCATTTTATTAATGAGGATCTTTATGACCTCTAACAATCGCATTAAAAAAAAGTATTTATCAATGAAGCTTTTTATGACCATAATGATATCAGAAAGGCATTTATAAATGAAGGTCTTTATAAGAATAAAAGACTTCTATGGAATATAGAATAAAAAATAAAAGACTTCTACGGAATATAGAATAAGATAAATCTTTCTTATTGACTAAAATTTTAATTTATATTGTTGCATATCGTTATCTCAGAGAAACGAGGCGTAATGATTGTTGTTTATTTGGTAAAAAAAAGGCAAACAAGTTGGCTCAGCCGATATTTTTTTAATGCAGATAATCTCTAATAGATTGCCGTATATCACCGAAAGTAAGATTTGTAGAATAAATATGTATATTCAAAGTTAGATTGTTAGAGCTCCGTAGGCGATAACAATGATATTGTTAAAACAATAACAAATAAACAATTTGCGGTATTTCGTCGTTCTATAACAATTTGAAACACTTTTGAAACATTAGGTCATCAGCTTACTCTTTCCCGACCATATGACTAAATCAAGATGTTGATGTGAAATATGAAAAGAAATTAGATTTTTTTCACACACACATATATGTGTACCCGTACATATGATAGTCCGCTCACAATAAAATAGCTTAAAATCGATGATATAGTCAGTTCATTAGTGAAATTTTTCAAAAAATCCGTTTATCAACGCGGTCTATTATTGATTCCGTTACTAATTATATTTAAGCCCCATAAGTTTATTTTCTGATATAATATATTCAGGGAAACAATTATAAATGTAAATTGCATGTCAGTCATATGGTATCGACAAATTGCATTTAGGGAGAGTTGGTATCTCCAAACAAAAATTGGACGCTGAAATTATTTTTTACAGTATACTGCAAAAAGTTTAAACTTTACGACCAATTATTTTATATCAAACAATATAATAACATTTACATATAAAACAGAAACTAAAAGGAGGTTACTGTAAATATTCTCTGGGTAACTTAGATTCTACTCAAAATTGGGTAGTAACCTTACAAAAGTATATCATTTTATGTTATATATTTTATAAATGGTGGGAAGCATGAATGAATTTCTCGATAAAAGATGTTTATATGCCTTCTTATTCACATTTTAGCTTGCCTTAATAAAAAATTAAAACTCAAAAAAAATTTGCGTACTGCTTAAATCTTTGAGCTGTACTAGTAGAGTGTGCCAACTAACTGTTCTCGAATAATGATATTGACTCATCGTTGGCATCATAAAGATTCAGAATTTTTATATGGTGCATAGAATAATGAAAAATTGTCAATATTGTCTGATAATTTAGTCATATCTTCTTTATAATCTGTAAATCAAGTTAGCTCAAAATATTATTATTAATTACATTTATTATCACATTTTTTCTCAATAAAATTTATTTTAAAAGAAAATAAGCCAGATTCAACAAAGATCGAGCTTATGTTATTAAAAATACTATTAAGTATCTTATTATTATATTATAGGTGAAGTTGTTCATTATATTACAAAGAATATATTTATAAATTTTGGCATAATTCTGAAATTTTTGCGTTGAATAATCAATAAAGATATAAAGTTAGTTATATTCATAATTGTTTTTAGTTTTTTATAATTTAATGATATTTTTAATAAAGTATTATACCAATATGTCTTAAATAATTTGTTCTTCATATCAAAAAACATATATTCGCAAATTTTCATGTAATTATATTCATTCTTTGTCATATAATTGGTATGCGAATTTAAAATTTCTGAATCTTTATGACGCCAAATGTACTTTGATTCATATTATTATATCTAACTGTGAAATTTCCAACACCATTAATTTTTAGGTTGGTATGAAAATTCCACGAAAATAAAATTTCTCATTTTTAGTAAATTATATAGGAACCCCATAACCCCAACAAGATAATTGAAACTTATCGTTATACATGTAAAAGAAGTTTGAAATTGCATATTGGAAACATTTTTATACGTCATTACCAATGGCTTTTCCTAAAAGAATTACACTAACATAAAATGTGTGACGTCAATAAAAATTTTGTCATGCAGGATTGAAATTAAAAGCATATCTTTCTTGATGACATATATGTTCAATCTTTTATTTTTTTCGTAAAAAATAATGAAAAGACTGTTTCATTTCATATGCATATACAGTATGCACATATACATGCACAGTAGCGCTCAAAAGTAATGAATTATGAAACATTTTGCGAAGAAAATTCTAGCGCTTCTAACAAGAACATAGAGAATTTTCAAAAGATATAATCAGGCTCCTCTTAATACATAGTATCCTGGATCGTAGGACAACTTATATAAAAATATGCATTTAGTGAAGTTATTATACTGCACTAAGAAAAATAATCTTTGCAAGGTTTCTATATGCATGCACATGAACAAGTATTACTATTACCAATTTAGGTAAATTAATTTTGAATTAGTGAAATTGTGACATCAATTATTTTTTGCCAAGGCTAATGCCGGGAAAATCTTTGTAATAAAAATCATTTTTCTTTACGAAATTTATCTATATATTAATTTTAAGTTAAATTGAAGTTTTAGCTATTGAAATCCAAATGTTGAAATTGCAATCAATAAATTAGTTTTCACATATATGTAATATTGTCATCCGGAAGCTTATAACTAGAGTTAATAATGGGTTGGGTTGGATTAGATTTGTTTCATACGCCAATGGAGCGAATCATAACCCGGTCCATTAGTTCCGGAATGCTCTGGCTTACTTCGTTGGAGCAATCTAACCCAGTTTGCTTCAGAATAAAGCTCTGGATTACTCCATTGGAACAATCAAATCTGGTTTACTCTGGAATAATACTCCAGATTATTTTCAGACTTTTATAATTTTGCATATTTCACATATCAATCTCATTTGACTGGTGCTATCTGATAAAAAATTTACCAGATAATATTAACATTATTATTACTTCCGTATAAATTATGCTTTTATATTAGAATCTGAACTGAAAAATAAGAATAATTAGATTTATATATGCATGAATATAAGCAACTCTTTTATTTTAAAAAAGATATATATACAAAAATTTGAATAAATTAATATTAAATCTAAAATTAAATCTGTTAATATAAAACGAAATCTTTTATAAATATATATTTAAGCAAATTAATTTTTTATAGAAATAATAATAAAAATAAGTTTATATAATAAAATTTTAAAATATTACAGTTTAAAAATTTCTTTAATGTATTAAAATAATAACGATAATCGAAAACCAATAAATACCATCGAAATTTTTTGAGATCGATCCACTCTTGTATACCGCGCCTTCATGAACTTCACAGTTCTTTTTTCTATTTCTTTAAATTCATTTTGAAGCGCAAGATAGTTCTATCCTCCAATTTTATTGAAAATTTCATTTGCCGTTGGCCGTGTCGATGGATTCGGAGCCTAACAACGAATCATTAGTTCTCGATAATGTTTCGGCATATCAACAGGAATATCCGGTCGAATTCCACCACAAACATCAAAAATGAGTGCGATATCATGGCTACGGTTATTAAACGGACGCTTCCCATTCCAAATTTCCCAAATTTCCCACATTATCATTCCAAATGAGTATATATCGCTTGCAGTAGTGTATTTTTGGATTTGTAGGACCTCTGGTACAACGTATGGTATTATGCCAAATACCTCATCAGCCGTAATTTTCTAAATCGCCCAAAATCAGTTATATAAAAAAAATACAAACTACATAAACTATTGCCATTATGCAAATACCGATGAATGTATTAACGTTCATGTCAAGATTGTAAATCTAAAATTATATCAAGTAAGTGATCATATAAATAACGGTAGAAGATATTCCCGTTTTTAATTAGATCGTATAGTGAACCGTTTTCATAAAGCGAAGGACTAGAATATAATTTTCCGTTTCTGAATCGCTAGAAATTCCAAATATTCTTGCCATCTTATTACAGTGACTATTGATAACTGCAGATTGTATCCATATGTTTTAAAAAATATATATATTAAAATAAAATTCTAAAATTAATTGATTCAAAGCCTATATTACTTACTTCTTGAATTGTATTATAATTTGCATTACTTGAATTGAATATCATCTTTGGTGCAAGAAGACTTGGCCCTGCTCGAACTAATTTTCTTTGATTTTTATCGAAATTAATTACATAGCCTGAATTCCAAATTGGTTTTGATACGCTGCCAAAACTTCTTCAGCAATTAACTCTATTTCGTCATACTCAACCTACTCGAGGTAAATTTCAAGTTGAGCTTCTTTGATGATTTCATCAATTTTTTTATTTTTGCTACTCCATGGAGGGAAATCACAGTAGAAAAAAACTGATCATGTTCAATTTTTCATGACATTTTAAGCAATTCGCATTTTTTTTTGCTAGCGAATACATCATAAGTGTGTAGTGTGAGTGCAGTAGACAATTCTAAATTAAATCTTTCTTGAGACAAAATCATCTTATATCAAAATTACTATTGCATAATATTTTTAATATTACCATTTGTTCAATTGTAATCTACAATTTTTTAATCCTTATATTTCCTTATTACCATTTATAACTATTGTCATTTCCTTATTATTTTAAAAACATTAAGCCAATAAAGGTTAATGGTTAATGTTTATTAATAAAGGCGGTAATTATATTACATTATATTCTTCATAAATATACACGCAAACCCGGGTATTTGAATTTTTATAATGACACTAAAAAACTGACTGAAGGAGTATTTTGAATGGCGAATTACGGTACACATGCATATTAGATGTTAAATACTTTTAAGCAAATAAAAACAATAATGCTAAATAACTGATAAAATTTTTTTGCATTCCACTTAAACTAGAAACTTCTAGAACTCACCAATGCAAGAGATTATTTTTGCGAAGGATCCAGAAGAACATTTAACCAAGATTGTTGTTCTCCTTGACAAATCCCGTATATTTAGAATCCAACTTCATCGGTTGCTATGAATATTTTAAATGTATCGATGTGCACTATGTATTTTAGAAAATAAAATCATCAATAGAGCACAAGAATTAATGCCGTGATTTTTATTGTTCAGGAATATTATTGTATAAATCCAATGTGATTACGAAAAATCACTTAATAATATTTTGTAACAGTGTGAATTATTATATGCATTATACATGTAGTTTATTGAAAATATGTAAAGTAATTACATGTACAGTCGCCACAAAAAGTAACGCCCGATTTTTTTAAAAAATAAAATTTCGGATTTATTTTATTTCTGTCTTATAAATATAAAAATGTTTTTTTACCAATAGATAATACATTATTAACTCTTCATATGGCTCTAATATTGCTTTGATTTCTCAAAACATTCAGCCTACAACCTCCTCAAAAGCCAATACATCGAATTTCCTTCAATAGTCTTGAACTTTTGAGAAGCTTTTACATTTTAGAATATTGTTCCCCAATGACTTGGAGACTTTTCTATGAAGTTTGGATCGTGAGAACATAATATTTATTGATTTCTCTATTTGATTCTATTCATGGCTTTCCCTAATATAGATCAAGATTTATATTTTTGAAATATCATGTTCTATCAAATCAATGAACAAATTATATTATGAAAAGAGACCTATTTACCTTAGAGAAACTTCAGATAAGATTTTGCATGAATTTTTTATTACCAATGTTGTGAAATGGCTCAGGATGTCTTTTTTGCTTCTTGTATAGGTGCATTTTTTTTCTTGATTTTTAAAAACCCAGGCAGTGAAAAATTTTTGTTTTCCTATATCTTTTGTACTTGGCAAGAGATCATTACACTATCATCGGGTTACAACACATTTTTTTAATTTGAGAGAACAACTTGATCTACATTAGGAAAAAAAATGAAATAAATTCAAATAGAGTAAATCAGCGCCAAGCAAA